CGTGAGGAGGAAGGAGTGGCAGAGATGAACTGTTATGAACTGACTGCAACCCCTACTTCCCACCCCTCTGTGCTGCTTGTGGGGACAATATGGAGAAGTTGGGAGTAAAGCTGAGCCTAGGAAAAAGGGAGGGTTGGTGGGAAGGTGTTTTTACTTTTTTTTTAATTTGTCATTATTCTACTCTGTTATTTATTGGCAATAAATTAAACTCATTTCCCCAAGTCGAGTCTGTTTTGCCTGTGACAGTAATTGGTAAGTGATTTCCCTGTCTTTATCTTGACCCACAAGCTTTTTGTCCTATTTTCTTCCTCTGTTGAGAAAGGGGATTGGTGGAGCAGCTTGGTGGCCATGTGGTGGCCAGTCAAGGTCACTCGCCGCAAGGGAATCAGGAATCCTTAAATATTAGACCCAAATCTTTCATTGATTCACCACATCCGAGTAAAACACTATTGATCTCAATTTCTAAGGCTAAAAATCTACAGTAATGGTCATGCTCAACCATACTGAATGGCCTGTTTAAACTGTTGTAAAAATTACTTGTGCACTATAATTGTAAACGCTAATTTCCCACACCTCTCAGATTCAGTACACTATTACTGTCAAAACAGCAAATGTTCACAACTGCAGTTCTGCCAGTCCTCATGGGCAAAATGGCAATACTATTAATACAAGCAGTTACAAAGGCAAATGCAGTAAGGACTATAAAGCAGAGACTCTAACACTGGAACCGCTGACGCCACAAAAAGATGACAGACATCAGAGAAGTCTTTTTCACTACAAAGGTACAGCTGCACTGAAACAGGTTACCCCAGGTGGTGGGATCTCCATCCTTGAAGGTTTTCAGCATTCAGCAAAGCAACAAGTGGTTTGATCAAGGCTAGGGTTTACCTAGGAGTTATGGAAGGCAGCCTCTACTTATTTCTCTCAAACAACATTTCAGCAATTCTACACCATGTAATAAATGAGGTCTGGGACCAAGAATGCTTAAAAATAAAATTAAATATTGAATAACTGCCTTGTTCTTGAATACCATCTATCTAAATGCTTGTGCAATGCAGAAGCCAGCTGGTGGGAAGTACTAATGTACAATTCAACACCACAGTGAGCACCCTACTGTGACCCATTCTGACTCTGGCATGTACTGCCATCGGAACAGTCAATCATGACATTTAACTTTCCTACCACTCAGCAGCAAAACTACAGTCATTGGAATAGACAATATTTATAAGTGTGCCTCCTACTTAGAAAATGTGTGATTTTGTCTTGGCATTTATATGACTAGCAAAGACCATTATTTTTTTCTATAAGTCATTCCACCACTTCAATGTTTTAAGACCATTTTGAACTACTGCAAACCATCATGGATTGTAAAGTGATGTACATAGAGTTAAGCCTACTGCCTTAGGATATACCTTCCTATGCCGAGGCAGGAGATGGCACTACCACACCCAGCAGAGGAACAAGTATGAACAGACTCAGAAGGCCTTTAAGAAGCTGCATAGTCTGTAGAAGGATGAACCAAATGCAAATGCTTTTCACAGACCCCTGCCTGGTCTGACCCATCAGACATACACAATTTACAGAGCTCCTATACAATCCATCCCACAGCTCTGTTATCTTCACCTTGCAGTGTCTTTTGTCACACAGAGCTCCTTTATTACCATTTAAGAGCATTATTTCCAGTTCTCTCCATTGTGGATTTGAAACAAAAGAGCATTACCATCCTCCTTCACATGCACAAACGCCTATATCATGCCTCAAGACTCAGATCTGGTCTCCCTTTAGTCCCTGCCCTCCCCTCCCTTACTCTAAAACATATCTAATACTTTCAATCTTTCCTCCTACAACCTCCTCCTCTGCGCAGCTGTACAGAACCTGTCTGAATCCACTCCCAGTATAACATCTAATCAGCCAGGATATTATTAAACAACCAAAATTTAAAAGAAAACTCAACCAAAAAAAACCCAAACCAAAACAAAAAAACAAAACCAAAACCCAAACCACCTGAAGTTCCCCCATACTGTATATAAGCTTTTCCATTTGTTTTGCTTCACCCCTCTCAGTCACTAGGACTTTCTTCTCTCCAGCTGAAAGTTATCCACAGCACAACCAGAATAGGTATGTCAGATGGACACAAAACCTGATGCAGCTCTATTACCCAGCTGGAGAAGTCATCTCCAGGACCTTGTCCAGACCAGGATTTAAAGGTATGCTATCACAAATTACACACAGCTTTAAATCCTACTCTAGAAAAGGCCTACGTGGGAAAGAACAGGTGTTTTTTCACATCTATTTAATCTCTGCTGATTAATATTAACTGTACAAAATGTGACTGTGATGAAGTACTGTAATTATAGAACCAGCTTTATAAAAATACTCACGTATACTGGCTCTTTATCTGTACTTGCCCTGTTGAAACTTCAGGGAACCATTACACATACAAAAAGCAATTTTCCCCCAGTATTTGTAATGAACAAGAAAATGGAAGCAGAGAAATAATCCCATGTAATGTCACTAGTCACCATATAAATCTCTCACCAAGTTTACCCACCAAAAGGATAAGAGTTGAGGACCCTGCAGCCTTTGTGTTTCAAAGATGGCATAAAAAGACAACAACAAAAAGAAACCGACTGTTTCTTCTTCTTTCATATTTTCTTCTCCTTTATTTCTAAAAGGAAATCTGTGAGATTTAGTTTTACTTGTTGCTTATCTTTCAAAAGAAAAAAAATTAAGAAATTCAGTTTAATGTATTTCAAGAGAAAAGTAGGTTACAAGTGTTTCAAGTTAGGAATATAAATATTTATTTTATGCTAAGCCAAAGTGCAGCTTTTCATACAAAACTTGGAATTTTAAAAGGACAGATTTAATTAGATAAGCACATGATTTTCATATAATTAAGATGGTACAAACTTCTTCATCAAAATCCAAAATTATCAACATGCCTGCTGTAAAGACACAAACAAGGAGTCTGGATTTGCAGAAATCACTCACAATATTTTCAGTCCATTTTTTTCCTCTTCTTTAAGGTTCCAAGTGCTGCTTTTTAAAAGTTTATTTATTTAGAAACATTGTATTTAATTGTACAGCTAATGTATCAATTTATAATTGTACCTTTTCACAAAAAAAAAAAAAAAGGAAACAACTCCTCTCACCTGACTCATTCTGCAATTTATGCTTTGGCTTTTCCTGGTCTTCAGAAAATGGACATAGGCTCCCTAAGTTAATGCTACTCCTATTTCAGAAGCATTTCAATGTAGAAATATTAGATACATGTAAAAAGAGTGAAAATCTGTGTATAAATTGTTCTATTTTATTTACCTTGCCTTTCAGCAACAATTAGGTATCATTCTGCAAGCAGCTTTCTGCAAGAAAAACATGCCTGAGACATCAACACATCTTTTTAAAAAAAAATCCTAAAGCAGAGCTGCTTTATGCAATTATCTCAATAATAATTTTACCTTTTTAGGTCTTGCATCTTAATGTTACCAGTCTGTAAATACAGAGCACTAGTACTGCTGAAGTCAAGTCACCTTGAAGTTATGACAGCAACTGTGAAATAGCCTCTCTTGGGTATATATTTGAATGCTGCCTGAACTCCTCTATTATACAGCTGTAACAAGTAGAGCTGCCTTGTCTTCCAATACCTCCAAAGTACTTTTTCTTACTGCTTCTCTCCTCCAAAGGCAGCTACAATGGTTACAGAAAAACACAGCATTTTTAGTAGCACTATTTAACTGTATTTGGAGTTAGAAGCGGTTAGAGTGGACCTGCATTCCCCCGCTCTGACTATACATATTATTCTGTTAAAACTTCTAAAACATGTAAAATCCACAAAAAGCAGACAGCTCCTTTCTTATTCCCCTGAGTTGCAAGCAAATGCCCTCCTCACCAGTTGGGAGAGTTCAAAGGAAAAGTCCCTCCTCAGTACAAATCTGTGGGTGAGGTGTTTGAAGAGCGGCAGCCAGGCTGAACATCAGGGTTTGTTGCATCCCACCAGCCTGCCCAACGCTAGCTGGCTATTAAATGTGCTGTTTTGCACCAGGACAGCTAAACGAAACAAATATACATATATGAGCACAGTACAAAGATGGCTGGAGAGCCTCTACAGATCGAGCCTTGAATCGAGCTGCGTAGAGTGGCTTTTCGAGGGCAGCATATGGCCATTTCTCTGTGAGATTACTGGCCCCTCAACTGCAGGGACAGGAAATTGAAACAGTCCAGTCAAACACCATTTGGTGCTGACATTTCTTGAGCCAACAAAAGGCAGCCTTCCATGACAGGTCTGCACAGGAATCAAAACGAGAGGGTATCGTTCCAGAACTCATAGATATTACCATCCTAGGGGTTAAAATGCCATCCCTAACTAAATGCACACATATTTTATACAGCATGCACATAAAAACACTGAAATTATTGTCTAGGAATATGGATGCTAGTATCTGTGAACCTTAATTTTAAACCAAATATATCTTTCC